AGAGAAAATTGAGACATGTACAGATGTGAGCATAACGAATACATGTGCATAAATCACTATATACTTACTCCCAGATTGAATGAAAAAACAAAGATGGGCAGTTGCAACTATCCATAATCCAATTAGACTATAGAACAAAAACGAGATCCCATGACAGACTTACTTTATAAAACAAAATTACATATATACATCAACATTGAACACATCACTTTTCAGCCTTACCTCGAGCAACCAGGAGAATATCCTACTCCATGCAGCAGTGGATATCAGCCGATGTCTGCCTGCACCACCAACACTGCAATCTTCGCCTTGAAAGCTGATTGTAAAAAATATGACAAAAGAGAAATATGCTAGTCCTGGAAAATTTCCTATTATAGTATATACATAAGGCATGGGCCAATCCAACAAGAATCACATCCTAACCATGAAAATAGAATGCTTCCACTTCGCTCTATTATGGTTGGTGCTGATGAGGCACAACCACAAATATGCATGAGAAAGCAGTCAAAAATTCTGGTCGTGTTTGGAGAATGTGATTGTGCCATGCCACCTTGGCAACCAATCATCAATAACAGAGCAAATGGGTGAGCAAGGATTCGAACAGTTATGGCTTACTACATTTGCATTAAGTATTACCCTTCGTACGGCCTAAATCTCATATATACTTTCACATCATCACATGTAGATTAGAATTAACAATAACATACTAGTCTCCTCCAATAATTGGTATCTGACACATAAAATGAAGGAAAAATCTACTCGAAGAAAATTGCCACTTTCGGACAATAAATTACTACCTGATAACAAATCAAAGTTGCTTCATCAGCATCCCTATTCAGGCCGACCAAAATATAAACTTAAAAATAGAACATTTCTTTCAAACCATGTTAATACATGATGCAGAGGATTCTAGAGGCAAGTTCATGCATGAATATGTAATTGTTTCCAAACAACCCTTAAGGTCTGATGATATCTATCTATAAAATAGTTCAACTGAATCAAATCAGGTTGATCAAGAACAATTTTAGCAAGAATGCAGCATGACGTACACATACCCAAGCCAATGCAAAATAGAACTCATGCTATTAACTGCCGAACACAGGATAAGGAATGACAAAAAGAAACCAATAATAGAGATGTTAGATTCAGTTTGTTCCAGAAATATGTTTTACAAAATTGTTTCCATTCTAAAGATAGGCCACTAGGTTTTCAAGAATGTTTGGCACATGCATATTGCCATATTCCATACACCAAATGCAATTACATAAGCAGCTTTCAAAAATAAATCCAATCATAAATAGGGTAGCAAAAGTAACTATTTGATTCCTATTACAGCATAATATCCTTTCCAACCACACATAAGCAAAATAACTCGTCTAAAATACAGAGAAACAAAGCAAACAACAACAACAACAACATAGCCTTTTAGTCCCAAGCAAGTTGGGGTAGGCTAGAGATGAAACCCAAGAGAACCAATGGTAAGAGAAACACAAAAAAGGCTCAAAACAAAAGAAAGAGATTGGAGCAAAAGAGAAAGAAGCAAAAGTCACGGTTCTGGCACGGAGAAGCAAAGTGACACAGGGCATAAAAATCTTGTACAGAAAACCAGAGATCAATTTTTACATGTTTACATCTAGGCACATAAAAAGAAGCCAGAATAGACGTATGAGAAGTAAGCATATCCGATTGCACTCAAAGACAAGGAATAAGCACGGCAGAGGTGGATTACAGAGATTGACAGGCAGAATAACCTCACACCTGACAATTTTTTGGATCAATGAAACTGCTAAGACAACTTGGGAGAAAGAGAAACAATACAGATACATCATGCCCTTCAACAACAGTTCCATTTTCAACGACACTTGTCAGAATCACCACTCTTTTTCAACCATGTGTAATCTCAATCAGTGAACACAATACAGAGCATGGAAGAACATATGAATTATTCAGTAGCAACCTTAGATTTTCACAAAGCTAAACGGATTATAACCATAACATCCATGTGTAACACAAACAGCACCAAACAAACACCAATTCACCTTTCCAAATCAAGATCTACCCAATCAGATACATCACTCACAAGAAATTCAATCAGATCCACGGATATCCCAACTTCAAATCAACAAGTCAATCCAAATTTAAACCTTCCAACAAAAACAAAAAACAAAATCAAGCTCATTCGAATCTCACATTCACCGCGGACTCCGATTCAGTTGATGCAAGGCGGGAACCATACTTTCCGCCATAAACGACGACGACGCCGTTTACATCTCGCAAGCGACGCCGACGCCGCCGCCGGCGGAGATAGTTCCCGACCTGCACCAAGCGAGTCAGAGGCCGCCGCAATCGACGCAAATCCATAACCAAAAAAAGGCATTGGATTATTTTATTTGTATATACAAAAATGTTTGTGGAGAGAGATCTGAGGAAGAATAAATCTTGCCCAAATTTAGCAAGGGGCAGCAATGCGAGGGTTTGCGTGTGAGTAAAATGCCTGAGGTGATTAGGGCTATTTATAGGTGGAACCAACGCGGGCGATGTTGCCACGACGTTGCCTATCACAGATTGCCAGTGGGCGTCACGGGAATTAAGGGGGCATAATTGCAATTGCAACATTTCATTCTTCCAATAAAAATACATATTTTTATATGTAATATCATATTTAAAAAACAATACAAATAAAAGTATAACATTTAATAATATAATTACACATTTTTTATCAAAAAGTACGGTTGATTTATTGTTAGGCTGCCTAACAGTGTACGTATTTGTGAATCACAAATGGTGCGGTTCGGATTGTTTAAGTAACCATATTTTTTGATAAAAAAAAATAATACTTATATTATAAGATGTGATATTTTTATTTATATTATATTTAAAGTATGACATGTCGATATAAAAGTAATTATTGTTTAAGGTATGTCTGTCTAATTATTATGTAGTTAAAACAAAAGACATTGTTTGGTAAACATAACTGATAACTTAACTTATAACTTTTAAGTGAATTTTGAGCTGATGGCTTATGATTTATGGCTGAAAAGTTAGCTTATACGATATAATTGTTTGATAAAATTAGTTGATAAGATAGTTGAAATAAAATTTTCAATTGACTTTTTTGAAAAGCTACCTAAAAAAGCTTATGAAAATAAAAAAATATTAATTTATATCCAAGACTAATTCCAAAGCATGATTTTTTTACCAAATAAAATTTCGAAGCATGAGAGTTTGCCAGTAGGCTCAACACATTTTGAAATTATATATAGAGGGGATAATGACTAAGGTTAATGTTATGTAGAAGACTAAAAGTATGAGATGGGAGATGAAAAATTGTGACTAGTTAAAAATATTATGCGAGCGAATAAATAATGAATTTTTTTGATGTAATATACGAAGATGATTTATTGATATTGCTTATATTATTACAAATTTGGAGAGTTAAATTTGATTAAAGTTGATATGAATTTTGAGTTAAAATTTATAAAAACTAAAAAAATTATATGATCAGTCAAAACAATTTTTTTCTTTTATCCAATCGCCCCCTAATAGTTTATAATCAGTTGGCTCTAACTAATAAAGAGGTCAGGGATCGAAATTACTAATATCCGATTTTCGATTGGGAGGTGTCATTTGAAAGCTTGTAGGACCAATTTTCGATCATTAATTGAGTTAAAAAGAAATTTGTGCCATATTAGGATTTTCTGTAGATGAGGCAAATTGTCAATTTCGATTACATTAGGAGGCAAATTGAAAAAAAAATAAAAAATCTATGTATGGCAAACTCTAAAAAATGGCAGACTTTGAGAGGTTAAAGAAAATTTTCCCTGACTAAAATGACAACATAATTGACTATTTTTTATGACGCCTTACATAATGGACTTTTTTTGAAAATGGCGAACATAGTGAACTATTTTACCTAATAGGACAGACTAGTTCATTTAACCGTTAAAGCGAATCACACAATAATTTATCTTACTTGGTGAGAAACAATACTAACTAGCAAGTGGAATATATATTATAGTATATCATTTATTTCATGACAAGTTACGAGTTCACGTGAATTTTCATGAGATTGACAAGGAAAATGATCCTCCACAACAGTATTTTTTATGAGAATTAAATATTTCAAGAATTCTTTTTTTTTTTTTATGTGTGTGTGTGTGTGTCCCAGTGTATGGTAACGATATTCCCACAATCATTTTTATGAGATCAATAATTCATTTTTCTTTTCATGTCCCAATGTATGGTTCTATAAATCTGTACGATGAACATTTAATAACTAAATAATTCATAAATGCACAACGGATCTGATTCTCATATTGCTTATTAAACAACAGTGACCATTAATTAAATTAACAGCCTTTGATAAGCTTTGATTCTTAATATATATAATAGTTGAAAATATTCCAGGCACAAATGGTAGCATTAGGCTTAGGGCGCGTTTGGATACAAATATATCTCTTCAAAATGAGTATTTTTAGTTAACTATGGTCAATTTTGAAAAAAAACAGTATTGCTAGTTATTAGTTGAATTTTAAGTTTATTCTAAATAATATTTAAAATAAAATAATTAAAATTGATTTGATGTAAAAGTAGAAGAGATGATGTGAAGTGATTGTTATTTAAATTTATGTGAATGAATGAATAGTGAATTAAAGTTGATGTGATCTAATGTGATGTGATGTGATGTGAGAATGATTTGTTGATATTATTTAGTTATATTAATAATATTAAAAATAATGAAGTTGAGTTAAAATTAAATTAAATTTTGAGTATAAATTGAATTATTTTATATACAAACACACCCTTCGTAATAGTAACACGACATTGTAAAAGTCAAAAGGTTGGCCCCAAAGTCAAAGTCTCCATCACAATGACATAAAAGGAGTCAAAAGGTGAATAATCACTTGTTCTTATTTTATTTAAAAAAAACAAAAGAAATACCTACTCCACTCTTGTATTAAATGTTCATAAAAAAAATAATAAAAAGAAACTTCAATATTGATGCCCTAAATTAATGTGTTGATCAATGTTATCAAAACCGGTAAAACCGGTGAACCGGTACCGGTTCGACTGGTCGAACTGGTTCTAAAATTTGAAAAAAAAAATTTAATGAAATAAAAAAAAATCAAACAAACGGAAAAGAGTGAGATAGTATTTTGATGTTTGATGAATTGTAATGTTGGATTGGATATATTTTGATGTTTGATGACTTTGTAGTTTGTATTTGTAATTTGGATTGCCTTGCTTTAGATAATAGATATTGAATTATTAATCTATTGTTTTAGTGAACTTAATTTAGTATTGCTTATGATAAACTATACTTAAAATATTGATTTATCAACTCTTATTTAGAAAAATAGCATTATATGCTATAAAATTAATATAAAATTAATGATAAATATATATATATATATAATTATATATTATACATATAAAATAAATAAATAAATTATATATTAGTTAAACCGGTTCGACTAGTGGTCCGACCAGTGAACCATTGAACCAATAGCTTCACCGGTTCAATGACCAGTCCGGTTTTAATAACATTGGTGTTGATAGGAATTTCGTTAGGATGAGACTGGATACATTTTCTATTTAATATCATACAAAAAAAACACATAATTCGTCTAGTTTATTTTTGCTTACTATATTTCACTAATATGCGAAACTTTAATTTTTTAATTAGAAAATCAACCATTATTATACAATGGTTCTCTATAAAGTTTATTGTCCACATCACAATTAAAAATTACACTTTATATTACATCACTTTGTATTAAAAATTATTATTAATTCTTTAACTAACTTTATTTTATTCAACTCTATTAATTCTTTCACTAACTCGTGTAAAATTTGTAGGTGGATTTTTTGTTAAAAAAAAGTTCCAAACAATTTTGGTCTTGTTTGGTATTCAACTGTTAACTGTTTGCATTAGATGTTTTGACCAACTGATTGTATTAGCTATTTGACCAGCTGATTGTATTAGCGGTTTTAAAAGAGTGTTTGGTAAAATTAGCTATTTTCAATTAGCTATTAACATGTAAAATTACTTATAAGGACATCAACATATTTTATCATTCTTATTTATGTGAGCTTATATTTATTTAGAAAATAAAATAAATTAACATTTTAAATATTTATTAAAGTGACTAAAATAAAATAAAAATATAAATAATAACTCACTACACTTATAAACAAGGCTCCTAATGTAATTTTGTAAAAGGTCATTAACTGGGAATAAATTCGAGCACTAATGGGCAATCATTAATTCCATAAACATATCCCAAATTAAGTATGTACCAACAGCACCACTATTTGCAAATTTAGAGAGAAATTAATAATCAACATGTGCATTTGCACAGAGAAGAATACTTTAAAAAGACAACAATATAAAAAAAATCATAATTTAATTCATGAAAAAATATGAATTAAGAAAATAATTCTCAAAATTGATTTTGATCAAGTAATTGTTATGGAAGAGCCGTTACAACCATTTTCTGTATGCTAATACATGCGGCCATTTTCATGAGTGGGTGTGACTTAAGATTTGAGTACAATTTTGTAACTCCCTTCATTGGTTTATGCTCATAATTTATGACATTCAAGCAAGTTATTTTGTAACTTAAAAATGAAATTGGATGTTTGAAAATTTTGGAGAAATAATAAAATTTAATACATGATAATATAATTAAATGTTATGTTACTCCTCTTTATATATATATATATATATATATATATATATAGNNNT